GACGTTGTAGTACAGAAGAACAATACTTCAGTGGTCTACTGACGTTGTGAACAACACTCTATTTACTAGGTACTGACGTAGTGAACAACACTCTATTTACTAGGTACTGACGTAGTGAACAATACTCTATTTACTAGGTACTGACGTAGTGAACAACACTCTATTTGCTAAGTACTGACGTTGTAATATAGAAGAACAATACTTCAGTGGTCTACTGACGTTGTGAACAACACTCTATTTACCAGGTACTGACGTAGTGAACAATACTCTATTTACTAGGTACTGACGTAGTGAACAACACTCTATTTACTAGGTACTGACGTTGTAGTACAGAAGAACAATACTTCAGTGGTCTACTGACGTTGTGAACAACACTCTACTTACCAGGTACTGACGTTGTGAACAGCACTCTATTTACTAGGTACTGACGTTGTGAACAGCACTCTATTTGCTAAGTACTGACGTTGTAATATAGAAGAAAAATACTTCAGTGGTCTACTGACGTTGTGAACAACACTCTATTTACTAGGCACTGACGTTGTGAACAACACTATTTACTAGGTACTGACGTTGTGAACAACACTCTATTTACTAGGTACTGACGTTGTGAACAACACTCTATTTACTAGGTACTGACGTTGTGAACAGCACTCTATTTGCTAAGTACTGACGTTGTAATATAGAAGAACAATACTTCAGTGGTCTACTGAAGTTGGGAACAACACTCTATTTACTAGGTACTGACGTTGTGAACAATGCTTGAGTGGCCAGGTACTGACGTTGTAATGGAAGATCAACGCTTTTTTTTTTGGCTGTCTTTACCAGTAACACATGAGACAAAAGGTTAGGTCAATCAGGACGTAAAATGGTAATTAACAAGAGAACCTGCTAGTTAGAAAAAAATGTTCTTATTTGCTTTGCCATCGGGTTTTCAAGTTAGTTGTGTCGAGAATATTCCTATGACTATGGTATTTTGAAAACTAAGAAAAGGCTTATGTATGGTTAACATTTCTTAAAATTTAGGCTGGAAATTAGGAATCTAATTAGAACATGTTTAGTTGAGACCTTATCAATGTGTAGACCACTTTGAACCCGTCTCGGTTATAAGTGTTTGAGTTCTTGAATCTTATTGAGACCTTATCAACGTGCAGACCATCTTGAACCCGTCTTGCTTATATGTGTTTGAGTTCTTGAATCTTATTGAGACCTTATCAACGTGCAGACCATCTTGAACCCGTCTCGGTTATATGTGTTTGAGTTCTTGAATCTTACATTTGATTTTAGCAATCGATGTGTTCGAAGGAAAACGAAGTTTGATTATAAACAATATTAGGACACTTATGATATACAACATTGTTTATTAACAAAAAGGGGACATAAATAAACGTTTCGGAATTCTATCAGATTATATCTTCAGTATCTAAAGCAAAATAAAATGAATTTACAAAAGTCTTTGGACATTGCTAAAGTACAATTGCTAGATATAACGATAATTAAACAAATAAAACACAAAACAGTAATCATGAGGAGAAACTACAGCAAGAAAACACAACAAAAATCAGTAATACGAACATATTAAAAAATGTATAATTTAAATGAAGATTGCATGTTGTTCAGTGTTGGAGAGTGCTGTTTGATGTGGAGGGTTTCTTTAATCAATAATTCCAGATCAGTACTAGACTTGCAGAGGATAGAAACATTTGATAGCATAGGTTGATGTCCTGTTTCTGCACTATGTTGGTGTATAGAGGAAACACAGGGTTGCTAATATATTTTTTTTTTGCGTTTTGATGGAAATTCCCATATGTTCATAGGCTCTGACTTTTAAATGGCGTTTGGTTTTGCCAATATAGGAAGCCTTACAGTCTCCACACGTGTAAAGATAGACAAGCCAGGAACAATAAGGAATGGGGAGGAGATCTTTAGTAGGGGAAAAAATTATGCGTGATGTGGATTTAAAAACTAATCTGAAATCTACTTCAGGGAAGTAACGACCAAGTATGCGTTTAAGTTGATTTTTTAAATTTAAGATTTGTTTGCCAGCATAGGGAAGACACGAGTACATAGTAAGTTTGGGTACAGTTGTACCTTAATTGGATTTGTGAGTTTCTTT